CACAGAATTGTTACTGAGGACACAGAATTGTTACTGAGGGACACAGAATTGTTACTGAGGGACACAGAAAAGACACAGAATTGTTACTGAGGGACACAGAATTGTTACTGAGGGACACAGAATTGTTACTCAGGGAGGGACACAGAAATTGTTACTGAGGGACACAGGGACACAGAATTGTTACTGAGGGACACAGAATTGTTACTGAGGGACACACAGAATTGTTACTGAGGGACACAGAATTGTTACTGAGGGACACAGGACAGGGACACAGAATTGTTACTCAGAATTGGGACAGGGACACAGAATTGTTACTCAGGGACACAGAATTGTTACTCAGGGACACAGAATTGTTACTCAGGGACACAGAATTGTTACTGAGGGACACAGAATTGTTACTGAGGGACACAGAATTGTTACTGAGGGACACAGAATTGTTATTCAGGGCAGACACAGAATTGTTACTTAGGGCCACAGAATTGTTACTTAGGGCCACAGAATTGTTACTTAGGGCACAGAAACGTTACTTAGGGCCACAGAATCGTTACTTAGGGACACAGAATTGTTACTTAGGGACACAGAATTGTTACTTAGGGACACAGAATTGTTACTTAGGGACAGACACAGAATTGTTACTGAGGGACACAGAATTGTTACTGAGGGCAGAATTGTTACACAGAATTGTTACTTAGGGCCACAGAAACGTTACTTAGGGACACAGAATTGTTACTCAGGGACAGACACAGAATTGTTACTGAGGGACACAGAATTGTTACTGAGGGACACAGAATTGTTACTGAGGGACACAGAATTGTTACTCAGGGACACAGAATTGTTACTGAGGGACCACAGAATTGTTACTGAGGGACACAGAATTGTTACTCAGGGACACAGGGACACAGAATTGTTACTCAGGGACAGACACAGAATTGTTACTGAGGGGACACAGAATTGTTACTCAGGGACACAGAATTGTTACAGAATTGTTACTCAGGGACAGACACAGAATTGTTACTCAGGGACACAGAATTGTTACTGAGGGACACAGAATTGTTACTGAGGGACACAGAATTGTTACTGAGGGACACAGAATTGTTACTCAGGGACACAGAATTGTTACTCAGGGACAGACACAGAATTGTTACTCAGGGACACAGAATCGTTTAATTAAAGAGTATGTCAGACAACATGCAGAGAGGAGTGGCAGAGGAGGCAATGTTTTAGGAGCGAGCAGACGTGGCAGCAGAGGAAGGGGTCGAGGCAGCACCTAGTCGCAGCCAGAGGCCAGTGCTCCCGGTGTCATCCAGCGGTCGTGTCTCCACCGACAACCCTGCCGTCATCGATTGGTTGGCTCGGTCGTCTTCCTCTTCCCAGGTCACCTCTGACACCCTACAGCCAACGGTCGGTGGGTACGTCAGACACACAACCGTTAGTTGGCATGGCCCGGGAGCAAGCCCACTGAAATCACGTGTCCTCTACCTGCCCCTGTCCTTTGGTGTTCCCTCACCAAGCGAAGTATCGCATGCTGTGGGCTCAGCCCCACTGTACAGTGAGGAAGAGCTAACAGAGGGCGGTCAGGAACGGGGGGAGACATCCGCCTCTTCAGCAGCCAGGCGAAGAAGTAGTGGCGCGAGGAGAGTGGCTCGGTAGCCGGTCTAGAGACAGGTCTGTCTCCTGACCCACACGCAGCCGAGGGGGCTAGTAGTGAGGCGGAGACCCTAATTGATGATGATGAGGCTGATCGCACTTGGCAGCCTCGTCGATCAGGCTATTGCTTCCGCATCATCAGGAGAAGAGGGTGGCAGCTTGGCAGCGAGCAAAACAGTCGGTGGGTTGCCCAGGAGGCAGCAGGGTCGCGCAGCAGTGTCAGTGGAGGCAAACGGCCACGGAGTACAGCACCAGCTCCACTGCAGCCTACCACCACGGCCAGTAGTGGTGCCGGTGTGCACGGAGGAAGCAGCAGTCAGCCAGTGAGGAGTATCGGGGGCAAAGTTTCCTACTCGGCGGTGTGGCAATTTTTTGTCAAGCCGCCCGAGGAAGTAAACGTAGCCGTATGTCGACTATGTGGCCAGAAAGTCAAGCGTGGCCAGGGGGCCCATGTTGGGACTACAGCGTTGCGTCAGCATATGCAGCGTCGCCATTTGGTGGCCTGGGAAAACCGTGATAAAGATACGGCGGTTCTGCCTGCCCCAGCCCCCGCTCCATCACCCGCTCCGTTACTTGCTCCGTCACCCGACGTCAATCGCCCTCTATCAGCCAGTCAAGGCTCCAACACCTCTGCTGAGGGGAGTTGTCGCTCGTTGGCATCTTCCGCTCGTTCAGATGCTCCTTCTCCTGCTACTCCTCTTCACGGATTCCGTCAGCAGTCTTTCTTGGAATCCGTTTCCAAGAGACAACAGTTTGCGAGCACGCACCCGACGGTGCAAAAGCTGAACGTCCTCCTGTCCAAGTTGCTGGTGCTGCAGTCCCTCCCTTTCCAAGTGGTGGACTCAGCACCTTTCCGAGAAATGATGGCTTGTGCCGCGCCGCGGTGGAGAGTGCCAAGCCGTCATTTCTTCGCCAAAAAGGCAGTGCCAGCCCTGCATTCACATGTAGAAGAGATGGTGGGCCAGTCTTTGAGCATGTCGGTCTCTGCCAAAGTGCACGGCAGCGCCGACGTGTGGAGCTGTAACTACGGTCAGGGACAGTACATGTCATTTACGGCCCACTGGGTGAACGTGGTGCCGTCACAGCCGCACCAGCAACTTGGACAGGTCACGCCGCTTTTGCCTCCACGTTTGCACGTCCTTGGTCCACAAAAGATGTCCGCCTCTACCACCTCTTCTTCCGCCGTGTCCTCAGCCGCCACCCCCGTGCCAAGTCCCATTACCCGACCGGCATATCACATGTGCAGGGCGCAACGGTGTCACGCTGTGCTGCACCTGGTATGCCTTGGCGAACGTAGTCACACAGGGGAGGAACTTCTCAGTGTAATGAACAGAGAAATCGACAGATGGCTGTCTCCGCGCAAACTGAAAATCGGAACCATGTTGACCGACAACGGAAAGAACATGGTGTCTGCTCTGCGTCAAGGAAGGTTGTGCCATGCGCCATGCATGGCTCACGTGTTCAATCTGGTTGTCAAGCGGTTCCTAAAATCCACCATCCCACTGCAAGACATCCTTAAAATGTCACGTAAACTTTGCATGCATTTCAGCCATTCCTACACCGCAAAGCACACCCTCCTTGAGCTGCAGCGGCAGAACGGAATTCCACAGCATCGCCTGATCTGCGACGTTGCAACAAGGTGGAATTCAACCCTACACATGTTAGACCGCCTTTACGAACAGCGAAAGGCCATCACCGATTTCCTGATGTTACAAGCGGATAAAGGTACTCCCCTGTGTAACTTCGATGTCAGCCATTGGCAGCTCATGCGTGACACCTGCCGCTTGCTCAGGCCCTTTGAGGAGGCCACGCTATTCGTGAGTCGGCAGGACTATGGGATGAACGACGTCATTCCTCTGTTGCACGTCCTGGAACAAATGCTGTTAACAATGGCTGGTCAGGGTGCGGTAGACGTGGCGCACAGATCTCAACGCCACATGACCCCTGTGGGGGCAGGACAGGAAGAAGAGGAGGAGGTAGAGGAGGACATTTGTGCTCAGGAATTATTGAGTGAAATGGGTGGTTTTTCCACTCAGCGGACAGGAGTGGAGGAGCAGGAGCATGTGGTAGAGGAGGAGGAGGAGGAGACAGAGGACCCAGACGCACCGTGGCAGTATGCTGTGGAGATGGAGGCAGGGAGTCCCTCGCATTCCTTGGCACAAATGGCCCATAGCATGCTCGGTTGCTTGCGTAGCGACAGCCGAATAATAACCATCAGACAGAGGGATGACTTTTGGCTGTCCACCTTGTTGGACCCTCGCTACCGTTCAAAAATGGTGGCCTTTTTCACACCTGCTGAGAGGGAGGCCAAAATAACGTACTATAAAAACCACCTATGTAGTCAGTTGGTCTCTGCCTTTGTGCGCCAACGTCCATCCTCAGACACTGTGGGCCCTGTGCGCTCGCGTTCCGCTGCCATGGCAGCAGGGGAGGGGTGGGGTGGTAGGAGCAGTGGCAGCTCCACCAGCAGCAGCGGCTGCCTCAGTCTGCGTTCGATGATGAGTAGCTTTCTTCACCAGCGCAGTGAGGAAACTACTAACCAGCCGCAGCAGCAGCAGCATCAGGTGGACTGGAGCAGGACCTCAAACAACAGGCTTGGGCCTACTTGGACAGCACCCTGCCAACCGAGGTAGACAATCCCCTTGACTACTGGGCAACGAAACTTGACCTTTGGCCCCAACTAGCTGAATTTGCCCTTGAAAGGCCAGTAGCGTGGCATCGGAGCGCGTGTTTAGTGCGGCAGGAGGTATTGTAACTCCGCGGAGGACACGACTGTCCACCCAAAGTGTGGAGAGACTCACGTTTGTGAAAATGAATCAGGCGTGGATTAGTCTGGATTTCAAACCACCAGTTCCTGACACAACTGACTAAATCCGCCATGAATCATGCCCCAAACATGTGCCACTTTCAGGTCTCCTCACACTGCTGGGTGTGTTCCATTTTTTGTCATAGGGTGCTGGCAGATTACGGGCCTCCCATAGCTGCTGCCAGGCCCCTAATCTGCCATGGGCCCCTGTACCGCCTCCTCTTGCTGCTGCCAGGTCCACAGTGTCTCATGCCATGTGCCACTTTCAGGTCTCCTCACACTGCTGGTGTGTTCCATTTTTTGTCATAGGGTGCTAGCAGATTACGGGCCTGCCCATAGCTGCTGCCAGGCCCCTAATCTGCCATGGGCCCCTGTACTGCCTCCTCATGCTGCTGCCAGGTCCACAGTGTCTCATGCCATGTGCCACTTTCAGGTCTCCTCACACTGCTGTTGTGTTCCATTTTTTGTCATAGGGTGCTGGCAGATTACGGGCCTCCCATAGCTGCTGCCAGGCCCCTAATCTGCCATGGGCCCCTATACCGCCTCCTCATGCTGCTGCCAGGTCCAGAGTCTCTCATGGGTCCCTGTACGGCCTCCCATTGCTGCTGTCTCCATCTCCACACTCTGCCATGTGCCACTTTCAGGTCTCCTCACACTGCTGGTGTCAGGAACCATCGCGACGCATGGGTCTACACATGCGTAGGTGTCTGCCGAGACGTAGTAGACAGGCACTAAGACCCAGGCTACGCCTGTCAGGTGCAGGGCGGCCTATTTAAGCTAGCCCTGCACAGACACTTGTTTGCCGAATGGTCTTTGTATCCTGTTACCTGTGTGTGAGTACTTCTGATCTGGATTGTTTTGACCTTGTTGCCTTCTCCCGTCCTGACCCCTTGGCTTGCCTGACTCTGCTCCCGGATGTTCCCCGTTTAGATCTGACCTCCTGGTATTGACCCTGCGTGTGACCCGACTATCCTTTGCCTACCGTTTTGTACCTTACCGATCCTCTAGTTATCGTCCCGGCCTGCATGACTCTGATTTAGCTCATCCATCCATCCACCCCGCAGGGATCACTAGGCTCCCTTACATCAGACTCCTAGCTCCCTGGAGCCCCTGTCAGACTCCTCTACCCCTGTTGGAGATACCTGGTAGTTGTCGACCTGGTACCGGAGCACTCCAAGTCCATCCCCACCATCAGGGGCCCTGGTGAACAAGTGCTCCGGTGCTTAGACTCCGCACGCTGGGGAGGCTCTACCGGGGGACTGATAGAGGTGCTGTCAGGCGGTCCCTTACAGTACCATTCGGCCATGTCTGAGTCTGGAGGGTCGCCTTCTCCATGGGATGAGATGTGCCAACATTTGTCCGGACTGACCCAGGCAGTAACTAACCTGCAGACAAGTGTAGTCGGTTAGAAAATCAATTTGACACCCTAACGTTATCTGGAGTGTCCCCTCAGAGTGAGGGCCTCAGCTATTGACACTTAGGGCGGTTTTCTGAATCTCCCAGTGGGGCTGGCGGCTGCAGCTCCGCCAGCCGAACCCCGTGTTCCCATGCCTGAACGTTTTCAGGGAGATCGAGCACGTTTTAGAACGTTCAAAAACGCATGTTACTTGTTTTTTGAACTGCAACCACGTGCGTTTACCACAGAGTCGGTCAAGGTGGGATTTGTAATTTCTCTTCTACAGGATGAGCCCCAGGACTGGGCCCTTAGACTAAGGGAAACGCAGGACCCTCAGTTACAGACCTTAGACGCATTTTTTTAAGGCCATGTCAGTTCTGTACGATGACCCCCAGCGGGCGGTTTCGGCTGAAACCACCCTTTATGCCCTACGACAGGGTCGTCGAGCTGCGGAGGAATACGCCTCCGAGTTCAGGCGATGGATGGGGGACACACACTGGAATGACGCCGCCCTACGTCACCAATTTAGGGTCGGACTCTCGGAGGGCCTAAAAGATGAGTTAGCTCGGGTTTGGCTCTCCCGGGTCTCTAAAGGAGTTGATCGACCTGGCGATTCAGATTGATCGCAGGTTAAGGGAACGCCGGTCTGAGAGGACAGGTCAAGGCCAGGGTCAAGGAGTTACCTGGATACCCCCCAAAGGCACAGGTCATTCCGTCCCTGCTCCTGTTCCACCAGTTGTCTCCACTGATGTGCCAGAACCGATGCAGCTGGGTTTGGCGCGGCAGACCCTTACTCCAGAAGAACGCCAGAGACGGCGGGCCAAGAACCTGTGTTTCTATTGCGGGGGAGCTGGACATGCAGTGCGAAACTGTCCAGTGAAGACATGTAAGTCTCGATCTTCGGTTCCTGTTTCCTTGAGTAATATAAGTCAGTCCAATTACTTAGCGGTACCCCTTTTGTTTCAGCTGCCAGAGAAAACCGTGGTAACCACTGCAATCATTGATTCGGGGGCCTGCAGTTGCTTCCTGGACCTTGACTTTGCCCGCCAGCAGGAGATACCATTACAGGCCAGGAAATGGGCTCAATTTGTTCTTGGCTGATGGTTCCCAAATAAAATCAGGTTTAGTGGACCAAGAGACCCCTCCCATACTCACCACCGTAATGGGCTCCCATCGGGAATTACTACACTTTGACGCCCATTGCGTCACCCCTTTTTCCAGTGATCCTGGGGCTTCCGTGGCTGCAGGCCCACAACCCCCAGATCGACTGGAAAAACGGGTCCCTTAGTTTTTCTTCAGACTATTGTCAGAAGAACTGCCAGGCCTCTGGGCACCGGGCCCCCCCCAGATCCTCTTATGTGCAGAAGAGGACGCTAACCTAAGACAGATTGTACCAACCGTATATCATGAATATTTAGACGTGTTCAGTAGACGAGGGGCTGATACACTACCACCACATCGACCATATGATTGTCCCATTGACTTATTGCCAGGTTCTGAGATTCCTTTTGGCCGTATCTTCCCGCTATCGGAAAAGGAATTAGGGGTACTGAAGGACTATATTGAGGAGAACCTCCAGAAAAAGTTTATTCGCCCTTCCACATCTCCGGCAGGGGCGGGTATCTTCTTTGTGGAGAAGAAAGATAAAACCTTGAGACCCTGTATTGACTATAGGGAATTAAATCGGGTGACCATCAAGAACCGCTACCCTCTACCTCTGGTCCCAGAGTTATTCCAGAGTCTGGGGACAGCGGTCTGCTTTACGAAGCTGGATCTGCGTGGGGCATACAATCTGGTCCGCATCCGGGGAGGGGGATGAGTGGAAAACAGCTTTCCGTACTCGATTTGGGCACTTCGAGTACCTGGTCATGCCGTTTGGACTTTGCAATGCCCCAGCCACGTTCCAACACTTCATAAATGACGTGTTGCGTGATTTCTTGGACATTTTTCGTTATCGTCTACCTAGACGATATTCTGATCTTTTCTCCATCTCTAGATGTCCACAGAAACCATGTAATCAAGGTTTCTGGAACGGCTGCGCCTGCACGGCCTATATGCCAAGGCAGAAAAATGCAGCTTTGAGCAGCAAAGCATTGCGTTTTTAGGAATGATTATCTCCACTGCGGGGATCGGCAATGGATCCCCAAAAGATCTCGGCTATTCTTGATTGGCCAATTCCAGCCGATAAGAAAGGCGTCCAAAGGCGTTCATAGGATTTGCCAATTTTACCGTAAATTCATCAGGAATTTTTCAGGTCTGGTTTCCCCCATAACGCAGTTAACCAAGTCAGGAAATCGCTTCAAGTGGACACCAGGAGCTCAAGAAGCATTTGAGACTCTGAAGCGACTGTTCACCACCGCTCCCATTTTGGGCCACCCGGATACGGCTCTGCCTTTTGTGCTAGAGGTAGACGCATCCGAAAACGCGGTTGGATCCATCCTCTCCCAAAGAAAGGGTCCCAAGGAACTTCTACACCCAGTGGCGTTCTTTTCCAGAAAACTAACCCCGCAGAACGCAATTATGACATCGGGACCGGGAACTATTGGCCATCAAGACGGCATTGGCAGAATGGAGATATTTACTGGGAAGGAGCTGCTCACCCAATCCTGATCTTCACAGACCACAAGAACCTTGAGTACTTGAAAACAGCTAAACGCCTAAGACCACGCCAAGCCAGGTGGGCCCTGTGTTTTCTCGCGGTTCACCTTTCACATTACATATAGGCCCGGTTCAAAGAATACAAAGCCTGACGCCCTGTCTCGCATGTTTGAGGACCCTGAGGAGGAACTCAAACCGGATACCATCCTGTCTGCTGGTAATTTTTTTTGGCTCTGCAAACGGAACTAAGGGCTAGGTTGCAGGACGCATCTGAAACTTGTTCCACAATGCCAGACATGCCACTCTCCCGCCAGGAAGGGTTAATACGGAAAGAAGGACTGATTGTGGGTTCCAAAGGAGGTGCAGACACAGTGTTAGGGCACTGCCATGATCACCCCATGGCAGGGCACTTCGGAACGGCAAAGACTCTGGAGTTACTCAAACGCACCTTCTGGTGGCCTAAGATGAACCAGGATTGCAAAAGATACGTGGGAATCTTGCGAGATCTGCCAGAGGAATAAACCGACCAGAAACAAGGCCTGGGGGCTGCTACGCCCACTACCCATTCCTACAACGATGCTGGCAAAAAATTGCCATGGATTTTATAGTGGAGCTACCCCCATCCCAGGGTCATACGGCAATTTTTGTATCGTGGACAGATTGTCAAAAATGGCCCACTTCATACCGCTAAGGGGGACCCCTTCAGCAGAAGAAACGGCCAGATCTTCATCAAAGAAGTAGTTAGACTACATGGGTTCCTGAAGATGTGGTATCCGACCGTGGGGTGCAATTCACCTCGAGATTCTGGAGAGCCCTGTGCAAAGCTCTGGACATTAAGCTTTCGCTTTCCTCCGCCTTCCATCCTCAGAACGACGAACGGGCAGACAGAGAGAACCAATCAGACGCTGGAACAATACCTGAGGTGTTTTACATCTTTTGTACAGGACGACTGGCTGACACTCTTACCCATGGCGGAATTCGCATTCAATAATGCGAATCACTCGGCTACAGGGCAGTCTCCGTTTTTTTTCAAATTACGGGTTCCATCCCACGTTCATGCCTGACCTGTTGGCAGAAAGTACAGTGCCAGCCACTCAAAGCATGTTGGAGTTCTTCTCGGACAACAACAAACGGCTACAAGAAGCTATGACTAAAGCCCAGGAGGGACAACAAGGAGGCATTCGATAAGAAACGAAGGGGAGACTTAATTTTGCAGCCCGGAGACAAGGTCTGGTTGGCAACAACTAACCTGAAACTACAGTGTCCATCCAAGAAATTAGGACCAAAATTCTTAGGTCCCTTCCCGGTGAAACGCATGATTAATGAGGTTGCTTATGAGCTGATCCTTCCTGAAACATTTAAGATCCATCCTGTGTTTCACGTCTCCTTGTTGAAACCAGTAGCCACAGACCCATTTCCAGATCGAGAAGCCAGACCCCCAGAGGCTATTACAGTAGGGGATCAGGAAGAGTTTGAGGTGGAAGCAATCCTGAACTGTCGTAGAAGGGGGGGCCAGACCCAAGTCCTGATAAAGTGGAAAGGTTATGGTCCTGAGGAAAATTCTTGGGAACCTGTTCAAAATGTTCATGCTCCTAGACTTATGCGGGAATTCGTGCGTGGTCACCCGCAGTGGAGAGATCAATTGGGCACCCGGAGGGTACCCATAGGGGGGGGGGCAATGTCAGGAACCATCGCGACGCATGGGTCTACACATGCGTAGGTGTCTGCCGAGACGTAGAGGTGGCAGGGCACTAGGACCCAGGCGTACCTGTCGTCTGGACAGTACTAGACAGGCACTAAGACCCAGGCTACGCCTGTCAGGTGCAGGGCGGCCTATTTAAGCTAGCCCTGCACAGACACTTGTTGCCGAATGGTCTTTGTATCCTGTTACCTGTGTGTGAGTACTTCTGATCTGGATTGTTTTGACCTTGTTGCCTTCTCCCGTCCTGACCCCTTGGCTTGCCTGACTCTGCTCCCGGATGTTCCCGTTTAGATCTGACCTCCTGGTATTGACCCTGCGTGTGACCCGACTATCCTTTGCCTACCGTTTTGTACCTTACCGATCCTCTAGTTATCGTCCCGGCCTGCATGACTCTGATTTAGCTCATCCATCCATCCACCCCGCAGGGATCACTAGGCTCCCTTACATCAGACTCCTAGCTCCCTGGAGCCCCTGTCAGACTCCTCTACCCCTGTTGGAGATACCTGGTAGTTGCGACCTGGTACCCGGAGCACTCCAAGTCCATCCCCACCATCAGGGGCCCTGGTGAACAAGTGCTCCGGTGCTTAGACTCCGCACGCTGGGGAGGCTCTCTACCGGGGGACTGATAGAGGTGCTGTCAGGCGGTCCCTTACAGCTGGGTGTGTTCCATTTTTTGTCATAGGGTGCTGGCAGATTACGGGCCTCCCATAGCTGCTGCCAGGCCCCTAATCTGCCATGGGCCCCTGTACCGCCTCCTCATGCTGCTGCCAGGTCCACAGTGTCTCATGCCATGTGCCACTTTCAGGTCTCCTCACACTGCTGTTGTGTTCCATTTTTTGTCATAGGGTGCTGGCAGATTACGGGGCCTCCCATTGCTGCTGCCAGGCCCGTAATCTGCCATGGGCCCCTGTACCGCCTCCTCATGCTGCTGCCAGGTCCAGAGTCTCTCATGGGTCCCTGTATGGCCTCCCATTGCTGCTGTCTCCATCGCCACACTCTGCCATGTGCCACTTTCAGGTCTCCTCACACACTGCTGGTGTGTTCCATTTTTTGTCATAGGGTGCTGGCAGATTACGGGCCTCCCATAGCTGCTGCCAGGCCCCTAATCTGCCATGGGCCCCTGTACCACCTCTTCATGCTGCTGCCAGGTCCAGAGTGTGTCATGGGTCCCTGTACGGCCTCCCATTGCTGCTGCCAGGAGGCAGCAGGGTCGCAGCAGTGTCAGTGGAGGCAAACGACCACGGAGTAGAGCACCAGCTCCACTGCAGCCTACCACCACGGCCAGTAGTGGTGCCGGTGTGCACGGAGGAAGTAGCAGTCAGCCAGTGAGGAGTAGCGGGGGCCCTACTCGGCGGTGTGGCTACTCGGCGGTAGTTTCCTACTCGGCGGTGTGGCAATTTTTCGTCAAGCCGCCCGAGGACGTAAACGTAGCCGTATGTCGACTATGTGGCCAGAAAGTCAAGCGTGGCAAGGGGGCCCATGTTGGGACTACAGCGTTGCGTCAGCATATGCAGCGTCGCCATTCGGTGGCCTGGGAAAACCGTGATAAAGATACGGCGGTTCTGCCTGCCCCAGCCCAGGGTTCCATTTTGTCATAGGGTGCTGGCAGATTACGGGCCTCCCATTGCTGCTGCCAGGCCTTAATCTGCCATGGGCCCCTGTACCGCCTCCTCATGCTGCTGCCAGGTCCACAGTGTCTCATGGGTCCCTGAACCGCCTCCCATTGCTGCTGTCTCCATCGCCACACTCTGCCATGTGCCACTTTCAGGTCTCCTCACACTGCTGGTGTGTTCCATTTTTTGTCATAGGGTGCTGGCAGATTACGGGCCTCCCATAGCTGCTGCCAGGCCCCTAATCTGCCATGGGCCCCTGTACCATCTCCTCATGCTGCTGCCAGGTCCAGAGTCTCTCATGGGTCCCTGTACGGCCTCCCATTGCTGCTGTCTCCATCGCCACACTCTGCCATGTGCCACTTTCAGGTCTCCTCACACACTGCTGGTGTGTTCCATTTTTTGTCATAGGGTGATGGCAGATTACGGGGCCTCCCATTGCTGCTGCCAGGCCCCTAATCTGCCATGGGCCCCAGTACCGCCTCCTCATGCTGCTGCCAGGTCCAGAGTCTCTCATGGGTCCCTGTACGGCCTCCCATTGCTGCTGTCTCCATCGCCACACTCTGCCATGTGCCACTTTCAGGTCTCCTCACACTGCTGGTGTGTTCCATTTTTTGTCATAGGGTGCTGGCAGATTACGGGCCTCCCATAGCTGCTGCCAGGCCCCTAATCTGCCATGGGCCCCTGTACCGCCTCCTCATGCTGCTGCCAGGTCCAGAGTCTCTCATGGGTCGCTGTACGGCCTCCCATTGCTGCTGTCTCCATCGCCACACTCTGCCATGTGCCACTTTCAGGTCTCCTCACACACTGCTGGTGTGTTCCATTTTTTGTCATAGGGTGCTGGCAGATTACGGGCCTCCCATTGCTGCTGCCAGGCCCGCAATCTGCCATGGGCCCCCGTACCGACTCCTCATGCTGCTGCCAGGCCCGTAATCTGTCATGGGCCCCTGTTGTCGCTTGTTGGCATATTCCGCTCGTTCAGATGCTCCTTCTCCTGCTACTCCTCTTCACGGATTCCATCAGCAGTCTTTCTTGGAATCCGTTTCCAAGAGACAACAGTTTGCGAGCACGCACCCGACGGTGCAGAAGCTGAACGTCCTCCTGTCCAAGTTGCTGCTGCCAAGCTCATAATCTGTCATGCGCCCCTGTACCGCCTCCTCATGCTGCTGCCAGGTCCAGAGTGTGTCATGGGCCCCCGTACCGACTCCTCATGCTGCTGCCAGGCCCGTAATCTGTCATGGGCCCCTGTACCGCCTCCTCATGCTGCTGCCAGGTCCAGAGTGTTATGGGTCCCTGTACGGCCTCCCATTGCTGCTGCCAGGCCCGTAATCTGCCATGGGCCCCCGTACCTACTCCTCATGCTGCTGCCAGGCCCGTAATCTGTCATGGGCCCCTGTACCGCCTCCTCATGCTGCTGCCAGGTCCAGAGTGTGTCATGGGTCCCTGTACGGCCTCCCATTGCTGCTCTCTCCATCGCCACACTCTGCCATGTGCCACTTTCAGGTCTCCTCACACTGCTGGTGGTTTCCATTTTTGTCATAGGGTGCTGTATGGCCTCCCATTGCTGCTGCCTCCACCGCCACACTGTGGCTCCACACTCTGGTTTTGGCCCCGTGACTGCCCAAATGAGTGAAGTGTGCGGTGATTCTAAGATCGACGGCACTCATCTGCATGTCATACTGACTGACAGTATTATTTCTCTTCCCCAGCAGACTCCAAGGGCATTTAAATTAAAGGTACAGTGTTCTGCACTAATATAAAGGCTCTCTGAAGCCTAGAAACACCCTTTTATAAGTTAAATTCGCAGCGAATATATTCGACTCGAATCAAAATTTTTTCACGAATTCGCCGAATCAGTCGAATCGAATTTTTGAATAATTCGCTCATCTCTATTTATAATATATCATGTATTGCTTGTGTGTGTCCTACTCTTTAACACTAATTTATGATAGAGTTCATTTAGTATTACCATATTTCAATCCCCCCCCCCCCCCCCCCCCCCCCCCCCACAGACACACACATACACACACATCCTCGTAAAAAGAGTCTCTGACATTCTATTAATGTTCCAAAAAATATGACTGCTTTGTTGCTACACCAGTACTAAGACTGTGCAAACTCATATACTTAGACCACTGTGGAAGCTAGCAATCACAGTGGTAGTCAGCACTTCATGTGCACAGCCACAGAACGCTTTAGGGTAGATTTACTAAAAATGGAGAGTGCAAAATCTAGTGCAGCTCTGCATAAAAAAAACAACCAGCTACCGGGTTTTATTGTTAAAGGTTAATTGAAAAAGCTGAAGTTGGAACTTGATTGGCTACCATGCACAGTTGCACCTGATTCTGAATGTTCCAGTTTTAGTAAATTTCCTACTTTTTTCAATGATTGCAAGACATTCTCTGATTGGATGAGGTGGAAATTGTGACAATAAAAGTGTAGTGATTCCTCCTGCACTAAATGAACGCAACGTACACAAAGCTGCTAGCACCCCAACCTTATACCTCTAAAAAGGATAAAAAATAAATAGTGTACATATGGTGCAGCGCTAAATTTAAATATAAAGTGCACTAAATACAATAAATAAATCAGATAAATACTTCCAGTACTGAACACCTCCAGTTGCCATATTGCTTTGAATTTATACAGAAAACGACAGTAGTGCAACTGGAATGGGAAAAAATTCCTTTCTGATCTCCCGAGAGACAATCGGATATTCCACGGATTAACTTTACCTATAAATGACTTCTATCTGAGGATATACAGGTTTGCATTGAGAGCTGGGCAGAGTTTCTGTGAGTGGGCTGGAGGTATTTAAAGTCACCCGCCTAATCGATCCAGGAAGGGGATTACATACTTGGTACATTGGAACCGTGTGTATATGGAGATCGGGCAACAAGGAGATCCATACTATAGGACCCGGGTGTGATCCAAAAACCGTGATGACCCGTTGGGTCACTTATTGCAGGTGAGCAGGCATTTCAGCCATTTTTGGGATTCGTTGGAATGCACACCACACAACACCAGTTCCTTGTTAAGAGTGGAGCACTGTCTGTTATAGTGTGGAGGATTCCCACAGCACTAATATTTGGACTCATAAAGGACTTTTTGCTGCTTTGTTATGATTAATGTTTCACTATATTCGTTTCACTGCATATTTGATGTTGGTTCACTACACTTAAGATTGTTTTTGTGTTTTTCACTGTGTGTATAGTGTATACACATATTTGTGTTTTGGCACTTGTCACTTTGTATTTATCCCATTTGTACGGATTCACCTTGTTTACACTATTGGTGTGTATTATCCCAAATTTGGGATTTGGGTTTGGAGTTTTTCACAGTATTTATAATTATTATAATTATAACCCATTTTTAGTTATTCATTCAATTGCACTTTAAGGATTTTTGCACTTTAATTTAAGTTACCTATTTTGGGATCCGTATGTTGGTATTTATCTGATTTATTTATTGTATTTAGTGCACTTTATATTTATTTTTAAATTTAGCGCTGCACCATATGTACACTATTTAGGTTGAACTTGTTCAAGCAGGGAATGCTTTTTTATTCATTGAAAAAATACAAGGCAATTCGTGAATGGCGCTAGTGCCAACCGAGTGTCATGTGATGGCACAGGAGAAAGAAGATAGCAGCGATCACTGCCAACTTCCTCAGCAGACTCTCAGGTATGAGATATGCATACTTACATTGATTCAGCCTAGATCAATATAGGTATGCAATTAAGCTCATGCCTGGAGTTCAGCTTTAACCACTTGAAGACCAGCATGTTAAAGCTCCTTCCTGTCCATGCCATTTTTCAGTTTTCAGTGCTGTGATATTTTGACTAAGAATTACTCAGGCATGCAACACTGTACCCAAACTAATTTTGTTTAGACAGATAGAGCTTTCTTTTGTTGGTATCTAATCACCTTTGGGCTTTTACTTTACTATATAGAAGAAAAAAGATTGAAAAGTTTAAAAGAAAACAGTTGCATAGAAAACTTTGCAAATGTATAATCTTTCTTCATAAATTTATGGTAGAATGTATTCTGTTACCTTTCTTTAGTAAAATAACCCAAATCAGTGTATATTAGTTTGTGTGAAAGTTATAGAGTCTAGAAGCTATGGTATATATATTTGAAATGTATCATTCCTAACATAATGACTGCCTATCTCAATTCTTGAGGCCCTAAAATGCCAGGACAAAATTGTCATTTTAACGTTATTTCTCACACGCAGCATTGTCATACTTAGAATTACACCCCAAAACACATTCCTCAGCTTCTCCTATGTATGGGGATACCATGTGTAAGATACTTTTTTTTTGCTGCAGAGTTACAAAGAGGGGCCCAAAATAAAAGAAGTACAGGCTTTCAAGGGGTTAAATTTTGTATCTGATTTCCTATCTACCTATCACATTTCGTGAGGCCCTGAAGTGCCAATACAGGAGAAACACCTACATAATGATGTCATCTTGAAAAGTAGACCCTCCAATGTAATAAATTAGATTCATGTTGAGTCACATTTTGTTGCCAGAAGCTTTTTTTGAAAATGAAGAAAAAAATTAAAATGCATGCTTTTTTTTACACATATCTGTCAAATAATAAGATATTTATCACACACAGCATTGGCATAATTAAAATGACATCCCAAAACACATTCTGCTATTCCTCCTGAGTATGGGGATATGTGAGACTTTTTCATCAAGCTAACCACAGACAGGGGCTCAAAGTCCAATGAGCACCTTCAGGCTTTCAGGGGACATAAATAATGCATCTAATTTCCTGACCACCCGTAACATTTTTGGAGGTACTGGAGCACCAGGACTGTAGAAACAAAAACTATATTACCACATTTTGGAGTGTAAACAACCCAAAGTATTTTTAAGAGGCATGGTAAGTCTTTTGAAGATGTCATTTTTTTAAACACGGTTTTGGAAAATGTTGAAAGAAAATGAAAATTATGATTTTTTTTTTTCAATATTTACTCTGATTATCCAGTAGATATTGTATCTTATGTATCACAAAACTCAACCAACGCAATATCAAAAACAGTGTACTGTAATGCTCACCTCAGTAATCAGGAAATTTAGCTTAGTGTGGCAGCACATATAGCAGGCCCTGTTCCTATAAGGCAAGCAAGCTTAGCTTACTGGAAAATGGCTGTCCCCAGGAATTCCAAGATCAATGGCCAGGAAGTACAGAAGGCTGAACAAAGGTTGAACAGAAGAGTTCTTGTGTTTCCAGGAGTGCAGTTGTCTGCAGGGGTGTCAGGGAGCGAGGAGCCAGATACACAAGGAGGTGCAATTAAAGGTAGGTTTATTTACACAGAAACAAGGCAAGAGTCTATGCAAGTCTGACAGCAACAGCGGATGACTTGGTAGGACAGAAGTTCTCCTGCCGAGGTCGTCTTCCAGGATAATCAAGTCGAGAACCAGCGGGAATCGTAGCCAAAGCTGGGGTCAGAAGCCAGGAAGAATGGTTGCCAGAGCCGGGGTCAGAAGCCAGGAAGAATGGTTGCCAGAGCCAGGGTCAGAAACCAGGAAGAATGGTCACCAGAGCCGGGGTCAGAAGCCAGGAGGAGTCTTAGCCAATGCCGAGTCGGTATCCAGGAGAGCAAAGAGTTAACTGAACAGGAGCTTGCTGCTGTGCAACAGACAGAACACGAATGCAATGGACAGCTGCAAACAGCAGACTTAAATGTGATAAGCCGCCACTTCCTGGGAGGAGCCGCAGAGGGCTGAAAGCATAAAGGATCCCACAATGCTTTGCAGACCTAAGATGGATGCCAGCACATGGAGCAGCACAAGCCCTGAGGAAAGGTAGGACCTTGATAAGGGGATGACTGGGATTAGTGTTTTGCAGGAAGGTAATCAGTGGGACATGCATATGAGTCATTTCAGGCAGCAGGCAGTGATATGGTCAATAAACAGGCAAAGGATTGGTCCAGGCATCAGACAGAAATGTGGTCAAATAAACATTCCAGGGTCAGTACAGGCAGCAAGCAGAGACAACACAGTCTGAAACAAAATCAGGAACACTGTTGTTTGCTGCACAGGCTCTGGTAACACTGTAACTAATGTAGCTAGCATTCAGGAACATTGTTGCTAGCTGCACTGGTCTGGTGACACTGTCACTGTGGTGGCAGTGTGCAGGAAGTCTGTTCGTGGCTCACACTGGTCTGGTGAAACTGGGACTGGTGCGTGGTGATTAAGGCTGAGTCCAGACAGCTTCCCTGCTTGGGAGGAAACACAAGAAAGGCTGCAGCAGCCTATGCTTACAAGTGTGATTGCTGTGATTAGCCACAGTGATTGCACAATACAGGGCCAAATTAATTGGCAGTCTACCCCAATCTGTGCTCTGTTGTGTCCAAATAACACAGAGATCACAGTGTGCATTATATGCATGAACAGTAAATGGGCTTAAAGGGGATCATTAAACAGAATCTGTGCCTATGTTGCTATGTACACTGCACACATATACCACGATATTTGTACCCCCCCCCCCCAGAAAAAAATACTCCTAATTACTGCACCACAACTGACAGCCTCCCAGACACACATAAACTTCAGGACAATGGATTATATAAAAATAAATGTTTCCATTACATATGCTTTTGCACACAGAAAAAGGATATAATTTTGTCTGACTGAGCCTTTCTTACAGCAGAACTTCATTAAAACCATCAACTGTTGAGACAGTGAACACCTTGACCAGGATTATGTAATGTACAACAAAATGTATAGAGTGCAGGTTGTAAGGA